GCAGCTGTAGCCCAAGTCCCCATCATCTGTCCTCTAGCTGGTCTCTCTCCCCTTCATACCACAACAGGTCTCTCTGCTTCTGTTCCTGTCCCTTCCAGCCCTTTCAACACACAAAATAATCTCATTAACCCATTTGTGCCTGAGGTTGCAATTTTTTGAATTTTTGCAATCAGACCTTGGTGATGACCTTGAGCAGTAGGATATAAAAAACTCCTACATGCCTAGTGTTCCAATAATGGAACGCTAGGCATAAATGGATAAAATCAAACCCTTTTTTAGGCTGGACAAGATGGCTCACGCCTGTAATCCCAGCACTTTGGGAGGCTGAGGCGGGCAGATCACAAGGTCAGGAGATCAAGACTATCCTGGCTAACACCGTGAAACCCTGTCTCTACTAAAAAATACAAAAAATTAGCCGGGCGTGGTGGCGGGCGCCTGTAGTCCCAGCTACTCAGGAGGCTGAGGCAGGAGAATGGCGTAAACCTGGGAGGCGGAGCTTGCAGTGAGCCAAGATCACGCCACTGCACTCCAGCCTGGGCGACAGAGCGAGACCCTGTCACAAAACAAAACAAAAAACCCTTTTTTAAAAAAAACCCATGTTGTTGCTATGGCAGTGAGAATAAACTCTCCTACCCTGGCCTGCAAAGCCCCACCTTCCTCAAGCAACACGTCAGCACCCTGGCCTTCTTCCCTGTGACCACTTCAAGCTCTCCACAATCACAGGGCCTTTGCACGTGCTCCAGGCTCTGCCTAGAAAGCTCTCATCTCCCTCCTTTTCCTGCTTCCCATCATTCAGGTCTCAGCTCAGAGAAATCCTCCTTGACTGCTCTAGCTCAAGTAGTCTTTTTTTTTCCCCTGAGACAATCTCGCTCTGTCACTCAGGCTGGATTGCAGTGGTGTAATCAGAGCTCACTGCAGCCTTGACTTCCTGGCTAATTAAAATTTTTTTTTTTTTTTTTGTAGAGACAGAGGTAGGGGTCTTCCTATGTTGCCCAGGCTGGTCTTGAACTCTTGGGCTCAAGCGATCCTCCTGCCTTGGCCTCCCAAAGTGCTAGCATTACAGGCTTGAGCCACCGTGCCCAGACCTCAAGTAGCCTTATGCCCACTACTATTTATTTTATGTACTATCTTCAGAGCTGTCAGCCTCTGACATCCTTATGATTTTGCTTTCTGTTTGTTGTCTGTCTTCCCCACTAAAATAGAAGTTCTGCAAGGGCAAACTCTTCTTTGTTTCTCCAGCATCCCCAGGGCCCAGACCAGGTCTCATACACAATTGTTATGTGGTAATTATAATCATTGTTACAACTACTGTGCATTGAGTGCTCAGTATGTACCAGAAATGGTTCTGTATTAACTTCACAACCCTCTGTGCCAGGTATTATTGTCTCGTTTTACAGATGGGACACGTACTCTACTCATGGTCACAGGGGCATAGTGGCAACACCCACATTTCAAACCCTGTCTGTCCACTGCAGGTTACCTGCTCCCACTCCACCTCTCACAGGTCTCGGGCTGGTCCCCTGGGGAGTGGTAGCTGCCTACTCCCTCCTCGAGGGTTTGGATATGCGGCCCCTCAGCCTTCCCCTGCCTTAGCCCTGGGTCCTTCTCCACCCACCACCCCAGGGGGCTGGCTCTGCAGAGGGGAGGGGCAGCACAGGCAGGAGCTGGAGGCCAGGGCCAAGTCACTTTCCCCACTGGCTGTGTGACCTTCAGTGAGTCTCTTCACCAGTTCTAAGCTCTGCTTAGACGGGAGAGAAAGAATTGGGCCCTGTTTGCCTCACAGGTTGTGCTGAGGATTCGATGAAGTAGAGAATGGGGAAGGGCTTGGGACAGGGGAAGGGTGCGAAGGGTCACCTGTTTTCTCTGGAGGCTTTGACCACCCAGGGGCTTGGCCCAGCGGGTCCACTGCATTGCTCTGGAGCCCAGTCTAGGGGCTTCCAGGAGAGCCAGGCAGTGGCACAGGAAGGCTGGGCTTGGGGTAACCTCAGCTATGGTGTCCCAGACCCTCGTGCTGGTGCCAGTTCCCAAGAGAGGCCCATCCTTGCCTCACATTTGAACCCCTTCACTTCAGTTTTCTGTTGCAGCTCTTTGTGTCTTTCGTGGCTCTTATCACAATTGCTAATCCTTTTGGTTACTTATTGTATCTTCCTCACTAGAGTGGAAATCCAAGAGGGCAGAAACTGACAATGTTGTCCTCCAGTGTATCCCCAGAAGCTCACTATCTGTTGAGTGAATCAGTAATCGCACCTGCAGAGATCTCCAGAACAGGGGCTCTCACTGTCTTAGAAGGCCTCTTTTACTGGGCAGACCATGGTTTAGGGAGTTTTTGACAATGTCTGGGACCTCTTGAGTTAGTTCCAACTCAGCTGCAGAAACACCTAGGTTATGTCCACAGTGTCCAAGGGCAAGGAAGGAAAGCAGCATTTGTTCTTTGTTTGGTGGTGGTGGTGGTCTTGTTTTTTTGTTTTGTTTTGTTTTGAGAGATAGAGTCTCTCTCTGTTGCCCAGGCTGGAGTGCAGTGGTACAATCAGGGCTCACCACAGCCTCCACCTCCCGGGATCAGGTGATCCTCCCACTTCAGCCTCCTAAGTAGCTGGGACTACAGGTACACGTGACCCCACCCGGCTGATTTTTGTATTTTTTGTAGAGACAGGGTCCCACTATGTTGCACAGGCTGGCCTCCGACTGCTGGGTTCAAATAATCTGCCGCCTTGGTCTCCCAAAGTGCTGGGATTCCAGGCGTGAGCCACTGCGCCCAGCCAACCTTTGTTACTGAGTGTCCACTAAGTCTGAGGAATTTGCTTCTGCAGCTGCAAACGTGACTGAACTTCCTGTGAGCCCCAGCTTGTACCGAGTCCTTTACATGCATTATTTCATATAATTCTCATGCAAAGGCCTCAGGTAATTACACCCATTTTACAGATGGGAAAATTGAGGTTCATAAAGATTACATAACTTGCCAGGGAGAAGAAGGGCTGAGGTGCTGTCCAACATCCCAGCCTACCAGGCTGTTTCCACTCTCCATGCTTCCTCAAAGCAAGTATCTGCCCAAGGGGAGGGTCGCCTGGGTTCTCAGAGCAACCTCTACATTGAAAAGAATGAATCAATAGCATAAAAAAACCCCAAAAAACAAAAAAAAAAACTAATATAACAGGACCTTTTCCTCCTAGGCCTAAAATTATATTAACTGAACCAAATTTTAAAATAACCAAAAAAAAGGAAAAAGTAAAAATTATTCATAATCCCACCTTCCTGAGATAATCACTGTTGGAATGTTTCTTTTTTCTTTTGTGTTAGATACATATATTTTACTAACTTAAAATCACATTGTTCACTAATACCCCGTTTTGTAATAATTACTAACATTTACTGCAACTTTGTGCCAGATACTTTTCTGTAAACATTTTATTGTGAACATTTTCCCACATCACTAAATATTCTTTGAAAACATCACTTATGTATATATTTATTTATTATTCAGAGATGGGGCCTTACTGTGTCACCCAGACAGGACTGCAGCAACATGATCATAGCTCACTGAAGCCTGGAACTCCTAGGGTCAAGTGATCCTCCCATATCTGCCTCCCAAGTAGCTGGGACTACCAGGCTGCCACACGCCTAGCTAATTTTTTTTTTTTTTTTTTTTTTTGTAGAGATGGTGTTTCACCATGTTACCTAGGCTGGTCCCAGAAAACACCATTTTTTTTTTGAGTGGGAATCTCACTCTTGTCGCCCAGGGTGGAGTGCAATGGCTTGATCTTGGCTCGCTGCAACCTCCGCCTCCTGGGTTCAAGCGATTCTCCTACCTCAGCCTCCTGAGCAGCTGGGATTACAGGTGCCAGCCACCATACCCAACTATTTTTTGTATTTTTAGTAGAGACGGGGTTTCTCCATGTTGGTCAAGATGGTCTCGAACCCCCGACCTCAAGTGATCCTCTCGCCTTGGCTTCCCAAAGTACTAGGATTACAGGCGTGAGCCACCATGCCCGGCCGAAAACACCATTTTTTAATGACTGCATACTACTCCATCCAGAAATATTCCATGATTTATTTAATCAATTTCCTTATCCTGGACATTTCCAGTATTACCCTTTCCTTGGAAAGTGCTATTATTATTATTTTTTCTATTTATTATTTATTTGCTTATTTAGAAACGGTCTCTCTCTGTCGCCCAGGCTGGAGTGCACTGGCGCGTTCTCGGCTCACTGCAGTTTCCACCTCCCATGCTCAGGCGATCCTCCCGCCTAAGCCACCTTAGTAGCTGGGACCACAGATGCGGTCACCACGCCCGGGTAATTAAAAAAAAATTAAAATATAGGCCGGGCATAGTGGCTCACGCCTCTAATCCTAGCACTTTGCGAGGCAGAGGCGGGCGGATCACTTGAGGTTGGTGGTTCGAGACCATCCTGACCAACATGGAGAAACCCCGTCTCTACTAAAAATACAAAATTAGATGGGCATTGTGGCGCATGCCTGTAATCCTAGCTACTCAGGAGGCTGAGGCAGGAGAATCGCTTGAACCTGGGAAGCAGAGGTTGCGGTGAGCCGAGATCGCGCCATTGCACTGCAGCCTGGGCAACAAGACTGAAACTCCGTCGCAAAAAATAAAAAATAAAAATAAATAAAAACAAAAAATATTTTAAGAGATGGAGGTCTCCACAGGCTGGTCTCGAACTCCCGGGCTCACTCCCGGGCTCAAGCCATCCTTCCACCTCGTCCTCCAAAAGTGCTGGGATTACAGGAGGGAGCCACCGCGCCCGCCGGCGCAATTGTTACCGATGCTGCATTGAGTGCGTGTTCCTTCACTCATCGAAATACATTTACATATATTTTTCTAAAAAACAAAAACGACCCCGCCTCGCAGAGTTAGGAGAAAAGCAGCCGGGAGCGGAGGGTGGGAGGGTGCGGCGGGCTGGGGCTCCGCAGCGTAGCTGGGTGCGGGTCCTGAACCGGTGCAGGGGCCTTCCCACGGGGGCCGGGCACCCGGGGCTGGCGGCGGAATGGGCCTGGGGCCCGCAGGTCCTCAGCGTCCCGCCCCAAGGCATGCGCGCGCACCGCCCTGCCCGAGCCGGGCTCCCGGGGCGCGTGGCCGCGGTTTCCTCCCCAGCTACCCGAGGGGGCTTCCGGGGGCACAGGAAGGTCCCGCCCCGTCCGGGCGGGGCCAGCGCACCGACGTGGCGCCCTCCACAGCTCCGCTCGCCGGGGACGGCCGGGTGACCTGCACACACCCTTGCCTGCAAGCTGCGCGCGGTCGAGCCGGGCCGTTCTGCTGGGCGGCCGGGCCTTATCGTTTTTTAGGATAAATGTCTCGGGCGTATTTCGGGTCGAGGGGCTCGGGTCCCGTATTAGTAAAATTTGCCCCAGGAAGGCTGAGCGCTCTTCTCCGCGCCGAGCCAGAGGGCGACTGCTGGAAGGGCTCACCTTTACCTGGAGTCCCTTGGGTGTCTCTCGGAGTTCTCAGAGGAAGAACTTTCGGATGAAGTCGCGTGTGGTGGTGGGGGTGGGCCTCGGGCGGTCGCCAGGGGCGGGAGTCTAATGATGAGGGGCCCCAGAGGGTTTGGGTGGCAACCTCCGGTAACCTTTGGCGCTAGGAAGTTTTTGTTGTTGGTGTTGTTGAACTACTGTAGTAGGAGCGTAATCAATAAGTAGTAGGAGCATAATCAATGCTGTATATGCTGGTGTTGGTGGTGGTGCTGGGTTGGGATGTATATAGGGTCATCCTGGCCCACAGCCTCCTCCCAGGGTAGACTGAAGCTGCAAGGGCCTTCCATTTGTGCGTTTTTCTCCATGTCAGTCTCCAACACTGAATCTCTAGCTTCACTGAGTCAGAAGGGCCTGGAGGAACCTCCTCTAGGTTTGCAGCCTCAAGGGGCTCTGGTAGGATCCCTCGCTGGAGGTGGAGAAGTGGATATAATAGGAGGGAGGAGTGGCAGCGGCCAGGCAGCCCAGTTTCGCCAAGGCTCTTGGCGCGCCGCGGCCCGCAGGCACCCAGCACGCGCCTTCCCCGCCGCCAGGATGCCCAAGAGGAAGGTCAGCTCCGCCGAAGGGGCCGCCAAGGAAGAGCCCAAGAGGAGATCGGGGCGGTTGTCAGCTAAACCTCCTGCAAAAGTGGAAGCGAGGCCGAAAAAGGCAGCAGCGAAGGATAAATCTTCAGACAAAAAAGTGCAAACAAAAGGGAAAAGGGGAGCAAAGGGAAAACAGGCTTAAGTGTGTAACCAAGAAACTAAAGAAGATTTACCTGCAGAAAACCGGGAAACGAAAACTGAGGAGCGTCCAGCCTCTGATGAAGCAGGAGAGAAAGAAGCCAAGTCTGATTAATACCATATACCATGTCTTACCAGTGGTCCATGTCTCCCTTCTTGTACAACCCAGAGGAATATTTTTATCAACTATTGTGTAAATGCAAGTTTTTTAGTAGCTCTAGAAACATTTTTAAGAAGGAGGGAATCCCACCTCATCCCATTTTTTAAGTGTAAATGCTTTTTTTTTAAGAGGTGAAATCATTTGCTGGTTGCTAATTTTTTGGTACAACCAGAAAATAGTGTGGGATGTTGAATTATGGGAGGCTTTGACTGTCTCGGTGTCAGCTTAACTTTCCATAGATGGGGGGTTAGTTTTTATCCTAGAATACAAAGCATATTAAATGGCAATATGGAGTCAGTCCTGCATTTAATGTCTTGAACATTTTATTTTACTTCTATTCTCATGTTTTTTAGTAGAATTGTTTCCTAAAGAAAACCGCTCCTTGATCATGGCGCTCCCTGTCGGAATTGTGTGCACTCTGTAACATCTTTGGTTGTGGTAGTCCTGTTTGCCTAATAACTTTGTTACTGTGCTGTGAAAGATTACAGATTTGAATATGTAGTGTACATGCTATTCAGTTGTGAACTGGTGGGCCGTATGTAACAGCTGACCAACATGTGAAGAAATTGGTACTTGATAGCCTCTTAAGGAAAATTTGCTTCCAAATTTTAAGCTGGAAAGTCATTGGAGTAACTTTAAAAAAGAATTACAATACATGGCTTTTTGGAATGTCGTTACATATGTTAAGAATTGTGTACAAATTGAAATGTCTGTACTGATCCTCAACCAATGAAATCTCAATTATGAAAAAAAAAAAAAAATAGGAGGGATTGCACACCCTGCCTTGCTGCTGAGGAGGGGCGTTTCCTTCTCTTCTTGGGTAGGCTTGGCCAAGATCAAGGTCATTTTTGGCTGTGCTGGGGAGGAGGGCAGGCGGTGGGTCACCCTTTTTGAGTGTGCTCAAGGCGTTAATAGGTCCCCAGAGGAAGCAGTCCTGCTCTGAGCCAGATTCCACCGTTCCCCTCCTGAATCAGGTCGGTGGCCAGCCTGAGTGGGAAGCAGGGTGGGCTGCTGTGTCCAGACAGGGGGTTGGCCTCATTCCCTGCAGTTCTGAGGAGCCAGGGACACCTGTGGGCCTGGGCGAAGTTCATTTGGGCTCCTTGCACCCGTTCAGAATGGCGAATGAAGAGAGTCCTGGGCTCACCTGTACTTAACTGGCTCTGTGATTCCCCTCTTAATGGGCCAGTCACTTGACCTCTCTTGAGCTGTGGATTATTCACCTGCAGCGGGTGAACATTCTGCCTTAACCAACTTTTCAAAGAGTGGCTGTGGGAAGGCACATAAGGCAGTGCTTATAGAAGGCCCTGGTGGGGCCGGGCACAGTGTAATCCACACTTTTGGAGGCCAAGGCACGTGGATCCCTTGAGGTCAGGAGTTGGAGACCAGCCTGGCCAGCAGCTCTGCCAGTCTCTGCTAAAAATACAAAAAAATTAGCTGGGCATGGTGGCGCACAACTGTAATCCCATTTTCTCAGGAGGCTGAGATAGGAGAATTGCTTGAACCTAGGAGGCAGAGGTTGCAGTGAGCCGAGACCATGCCACTGCACCCCAGCCTGGGCGAGAGAGTGAGGTTGTGTCTAAAAAAAAAACAGAGAAGGTGCTGGTCAGCTGAGAGCCTACTCCAGGGCCAGTCTGTCCTCTCTCAGGGACTGGCCTCCCTTAGATTCTGACTGCAAGGCCAGAGACTTAGAAATGATTTCTGTCTGTCTCCCTCTGTACATGTTCTTACCTAATTACTCATCACACTTGTCCACTGAATATAAAAAATTAGAAATTAAAGAAAGGCATAAAGAAGAAAATAAGGCCGGGCGCGGTGGCTCAAGCCTGTAATCCCAGCACTTTGGGAGGCCGAGACGGGTGGATCACGAGGTCAGGAGATCAAGACCATCCTGGCTAACCCGGTGAAACCCCGTCTCTACTAAAAAATACAAAAAACTAGCCGGGCACAGTGGCGAGCGCCTGTAGTCCCAGCTACTTGGGAGGCTGAGGCAGGAGAATGGTGTAAACCCGGGAGGCGGAGCTTGCAGTGAGCTGAGATCCGGCCACTGCACTCCAGCCTGGGTGACAGAGCGAGACTCCGCCTCAAAAAAAAAAAAAAGAAGAAAATAAAAATATTGAACCACCCAGTGGTTACATGAGTATTTATCGAAACTCAACTAATATAGGTACAGATTATTGTACACAAGGTATAACTCAATACAGTTTTTATTTTAAAAGTTTATTTTAAAAATCCCACCACTACTGACATTTTAGAATATTTACTTCTCAATTTTTTTTTTTTTTTTTTGGTGGGGGGACGGAGTCTCCCTCTGTCGCCCAGGCTGGAATATAGTGGCACGATCTTGGCTCTCTGCAACCTCCTCCTCCCAGGTTGAAGTGATTCTCCTGCCTCAGCCTGCCGAGTAGCTGGGATTATAGGCGCCTGCCACCACACTTGGCTAACTTTTTGTATTTTTAGTAGAGATGGGGGTTTCACCATGTTGGTCAGGCTGGTCTCGAACCCCTGACCTGAGGTGATCTGCCTGCCTCGGCCTCCCAAAATGTTGGGATTACAGGCGTGAGCCACCGCGCCCAGCCTACTTCTCGATTTCTTATATATAGTGTACATTATATTATAGATACATGTGTAAACATATGTGTGTATATACATATAAATGTATATGTCTATAAATGTAATATATTTATATAGAAGGTAAATGTATATACAATGTAGATGTATATATACATGTAAATGTAGATGTATGTAAACATACATATGTAAGTCTGTGTATATATACACATATGCATATACACACAAACACATTTAGAATTTGTTTTGTAAATAAAAATGGATCAAGATGTGCCATTCTTTGTGAGCTGGGGCTTCTGTAGATGTGACTGGCTGGCATCTCCATCTTCAGGAGGCCTTATGCACTCCTCACTATGGAGCTGGGCTGGGCCTGTGGGACCTCCAGCCATGCCACAGTGCTTTTTGAACTGGAGTCGCCTGGGGCGGGGAGGCAACCTGCACCACAAAAGCAGCACCCCCTGGACTCAGCCAAGCCTCTCTGGCCAGCCCCTCAGAGGATGCTCTAGGCCTGTAGATGAGCCTGGGAAAGAAGGCAATAAGGAAGCAACTTCGAAGTGAGAACATCCAGAAACAAGTGGATGACCTGGGTGGGAGGAAGGCCTAGTTGGAGGAGGGCAGTGGCATGGGTTAAGGTCATGAGATGTGTCAAGCAGAAACAGAATCCTGTCTGGCTGATAAAAGGGGGCTTGGCAGAGCTTGGGATAGATAGGGAAGGTTAAGAGCTGGGAGGCGGAAGATGTTTGAGGTGGGGCTGATGAGAGGAAAAGGGTCTCAAGAACTGCCATCTGGATTTCTGTATAGTTGAAAGCCATATGCGAAAGTCTGGCTGCGTAGAATGGGCTATCTACATCCAAAGGGCAGAGAGAGGGGCCCCTCACATGCTGGATGGAGTAGCGGGAGCTGCCTTCATCTCCAGCATGAAATTGGGCTGCTGTCACCATGACAAACTTTCTGATCAACTTGTCCTCCACCCATTGAACCCTAGCAGGGGAATCATACTGTGTTTGTCATGGTGACATATTACGGAACCAAGTGCTTAACAGAAAGGAAATGGACTCAGAGAGTCCAGAACGATACCTGGATTGTTTGCAGAATTGAACAGACCTTAGGAACTGGAACTAATACTTGATTCTCTCTCCTCTCTTCTCGCACTGTCTCTCTCTCTCTCTCTCCTTTCTTGCTCTCGCTTTCTCGTGCTCTCTCCAAGCCTGTGTTGTTTTTGTGTGGCTCTGCTTGGCCTCCTTTGTTAATAGTCTGACTGCAGGTGGGGGAATGTTTCCCCCTGACATCCCTGAATTTACATGCTCCTAGCTTACAGCCTCAGTGGAATTCTCCCCAGAGCCTTCTGTCGACTCCAGAGAAGAATTCTGACTGGTCCTGCTCAATCTGACACCATCTCATTATTGCGTACTCTGATTACCCAGGCTGGAGGGCTATGGCTGAAGGACCAAGGGCAGCCTGTTTCCAGAAAGAAATGGGATGGAAACGGGCTGGTCAGCACTAAAACAATAGCAGCTAGAGGCCATTACACATGGTTTTCAGGATAAAGTAAAAAAAATCGGCTGGGCGCGGTGGCTCACTCCTATAACCCCAGCATTTTGACAGGCCGAGGCGGGTGGATCACGAGGTCAAGAGATCGAGATCATCCTGGCCAACATGGTGAAACCCCGTCTCTACTAAAAATACAAAAGTTAGCTGGGCGTGGTGGCACGCACCTGTAGTCCCAGCTACTTGGGAGGCTGAGGCAGAAGAATCGCTTGAACCCGGGAGGCAGAGGTTAAAGTGAGCTGAGATCACGTCACTGCACTCCAGCCTGGCAACAGAGTGAGATTCTGTCTTTAAAAAAAAAAAAAAATCAAGATAACAGAGGCCCTCCATCAAAAAGCATGCCATCTAGTTAGGGAGATGAACTTGGAACAACAGAGAGCAACAAACAGAAAGTGGTACTGGCTGGCCGTCCTCAGACCACTTTGAGACTACTCAGCTCTTGAAAAAATTAGAGTACAAACATTGACATCTCTACTCTGTAACTAATTAACTCACATTTTTTAAGCCACAGCAGCTGGAGGAATCAACCCTAGGAAGATGGATCCTAACTATGGTAGGAGTGCAGTGTGGCAAAGCAGAAAACGCAGACAGATCAGAGTTCAAATCCTAGCTCTCTACCGGCTGTGATAATCAACTCAACCTTTTTAAAGACTCAGCAAATAAAATGGACACAATTAGTAACCTCCTTCCTAGGCTGTTGTGAGGATTAAGATATGCATATTAGGTGTTCAATAGAGGATATAAACGAGTACTCAATAAATGAGATGTGGCCAGGTGCGGTGGCTCACCCCTGTAATCCCAGCACTTTGGGAGGCCCAAGCAAGTGGATCAGTTGAGCTCGGGAGTTTGAGATCAGCCTAGGCTACATGGCGAAACCCCGTCTCTACAAAAAATACAAAAATTAGCTGGGTGTTGTGGCTTGCACCTGTGGTCCCAAGCTACTTGGGAGGCTGAGGTGGGAGGATCACTTGAGCCTGGGAGGTCAAGGCTGCAGCGAGCCAAGATTGTGTCACTGCACTCCAGCCTGGGAGACAGAGTGAAACTCTGTCTCAAAAAAATAAACAAGATGCAACCTTATGGTACAGTATTAAGACCTATTACTAACAATGACCCTTGCTGCTGTGGGCAGAAAGCCACCCAGGTGCCGAAGCAAGAGACTGAAGGCACACACTGTTCCAATATAATGAAATAGTTAGAATAAGAAAAGTTATACTAGAAATGGGATATAGAGATGATTATATATGGATATTATCAATCATTAGTTTTAGTATTAATCTCTGCTTTACTATTACAGCTGAGGAATAACCAGCTAGTAGAGAGTCAGGAGCTGAAGGAACATTGTAAAAAGTGACCAGAAGATAAGGGTGTGAGCCCTCTGTCTGGCCGGGTACGGCGGCTCATGCCTGTAATCCCAGCACTTTGGGAGGCCGAGGTGGGCAGATCATGAGGTCAGGAGATCCAGACCATCCTGGCTAACACGATGAAACCCTAAAAATACAAAAAATTAGCCAGACTTGGTGGCGGGCGCCTGTAGTCCCAGCTACTCGGGAGGCTGAGGCAGGAGAATGGCGTGAACCCAGGAGGCAGAGCTTGCAGTGAGCGAAGATCATGCCACTGCACTCCAGCCTGGGCGACAGAGCGAGACTCCATCTCGGAAAAAAAAAAAAAAAGAGTGTGAGCCTTCTGTCATGCCCGGATAAGGGCTGCTTGAGGACACCTTGGTCTAGCGGTAGCGCCAGTGCCTGGGAAGGTACCCGTTACTTAGCGGACCATAAAAGGGAGTTTCCCTTTCCTTGGGGGAGTTAGAGAACACTCTGCTCCACCAGCCTCTTGTGGGAGGTCAGACATCAGCCAGGCCTACCCACAGACATCCAGAGGCTTAAACGTCTCCTTGTGGTGCTGTGCTTCAGTGGTCACACTCCTTGTTCACTTTCAGGTTCTGCCTATACACCTGGTTCCCCACTTAAGTCCTTAGAAGATAGCAGTAGCAGAAATAGTGAAAGTATTAAAGTCTTTGATCTCTCTGATAAGTGCGTAGAAAAAACGCTGACGCACGATGTCCTCCCTCTCTGCTTCAGCTACCACAAAGGGAAGGCCCCCCTGTCCGGTGGACACGTGACTTGCTTGACCTTATCAATCACTTGAGATGACTCACTCTCCTTACCCTGCCCCCTTGCCTCGAATACAATAAATAGCAGCCCGTCCAGGCATTCGGGGCCACTACCGGTCTCCGCGCTTGGTGGCAGTGGTTCCCCCCGGGC